TGTAAATATTCTGCTTTACTTAAATTCTCTTTTCCCAACACCCCGCTCCACTGTTTGTGTTTATGTTTTAACATCTCTATCCTTTCATGCAATAATGTTTATTTAGTCCCATAAATAATTGTATACATAACATCTATTTGTTAATGTTGCCTAAAGTGGCAATCTAAACTCCTTAGCAAATGGAAAAAAAATGATTATTATTATTATTATTATTATTATTGATATTTATATAGCACCAACTTATTCCAGAAGTGCTTGAAATTTTATAAATGGGGAAGTTCAACAATAAAAGAAACAATTACAAAATGTTACAGGTACAAAAGGTTGATGAGGACCCCATGATATCAAGGATGTCACAAGGATAAAGTCTGGGTGCAGCTGATGTGGGGGTGCAAAGAAAGGGCTCAACCGCAATCTTAAACAGTGAGGATTTTGAAACCAAATTGCAGTATTTTAGTGAAGTTGTAAGAATCCTACAATACTTCTCCATTTAATTGGACTCTCTATTGGCCAAATACAAAACATTTATATCAAATATAGCCCCAAAGAAAAAAATGCTTTTTTTTTTAAACTGCAGGTATATTTAAAATCAGTTTGCAAAAGCTGGAGACTTTCTGTGGCTGTCCAATCACAGACTTCTGAATGCAGCTCAATGAGAAGGTGTTGCAAGGCAGGTGCTCTGGGTAATTGCTGCCTCTTGAGGTTAGTTCCACTGAGCTACCCAAACCAGGAAGTAAGAGACCCAGTGATCTATGTGACAGTCATGTGGGTGTAACCAGGTTAATTTATAAAAGTGTCAATTTCTAGTGAAATCTGCACTTTTTATAAAATGAAAAAAAATGTGGACACACTCTTAACACATAAAGGGCTATTCAGTAAACTGAGAAATCAAAGTCAATTCAAAAAGTTACTGATCTGTAAGGCCAGATTAGCTGAACTGAAAGCATAGCTGACTTAATTTTTTTTTCCAAATTGGCTATTTTGACCTTTAATTTTGAAAATCACATTGAATTCTTACTTTGGTCAATAACCGTGATAAAGCTCTTCAACAAACTAAAGTGCATTATGTGTTAAAGGTGTTGTTTTAAAATTTGACTATTTCATTCTAGATTTTACTTTTTGTTTTCCTGTTCACCACAATTTGGTATTTAGTAATAAAACTGAAAATAACTTGAATTTCATTTCAAAATAAATAGGCAGGGATGAGCCAGGGAAACAACTGTCTATTTATAACCTATTATTATTATTTGATAATCTAAAATATGACGGCAGACACGTTTCTTTCTAAGTTAGCATTATTAAAAAAAAAAAAAAGGAATTAGATGAAAAATAAATGTAAAACATTTGTTTAATTGCCAATGTGTATGTGTGTAGATTTGTATGTATGCATGTTTTACATTTAGAATTTGTTAAAGTGGAATGAATAAATGACAATGAATTTATCTTTATATCAATCTATTTTGTTTCTCAGGTGAGGTGTTACCTTACGGAATTACTCCAAAAGACTGGGGAACATTTCTCCAAACATTACGAGTCTGGATTGTTTGGGGGTGATATGGTATGTCATTTGGCCCTTTCATACATTTGGATGGTGTCCTTGTGGAGATACAGTGTTGCATATTGTGTACAGTGTATACAGCTCTGTAATAATCTGTGCACTCTTTCTGTTTTAGATTTGTATATTTCATGGTAGTATTTTAGTTTCAATTGAAAAAGTGAAGAGAAATGACAGTACTTCCTTACTGCCAATGACTCAGGAGCATCTAACCAGCACCGTGTTCCTGAGTTCCTTGGTAGTGATGTGGTGAGTTAATTGCACCTATTGCCCTCTTCAAGCAGTATCTATTACGCAACATCTGTCTTGATGCAGATGCTCTGTTATTTTAAAAATATGAGGCACTTTTTAATAGTAATGTAGAGCCCTTTAAAATAGTGACCTTTAGGAAATATAGACCGTAACTAGTTTTTTTCTAATGTGTTAGTAAAGTTGTTTTTTTTTTACATTTACACTTTACATTTTAATTGGCTTTTACATTATGAATTAATCATCTATTGAAACCATTGTTAAAATGAAATGACTTTTAAACATACAGTAAAATTCTTGCATTAATGTATTTGGATACGCTAATGTCCTGACCCATAGGAAGCATGTGAGGCATTATATTTAGAATTGGATTTCACAGCATAATAATTGTCTGTTATCTTGTGCATAAATGCTGTTTATTAACTGCCTATATGTGTATACACATATTATGTTAATATTACTGATCAAATCACTAACTTTTCTGCAGCTTCCAGTTTCCACCATGCAGGTAAAGTGGATGTTTAAATTTTTGAATTCTTCATTAGCCATGCAGATTTTGTGCAATTTTTTGTTAATGCATTTGTTAAGTGTAAGCTGACCCATGCGGCCAATTAATGACCTGAAATGTACTCAAACATGACATAATTAAATACGAACCCAAAGTTTGCATTAGTTGTTTGCAGGAGACCATTGACATTGCCTGGTGATACAGTGTTGTGTTAAACCTATCGCTAATGGTTTAACCCCTTACTGAGTGGTGACGCCAGGGGACTCCTGTTACCATAACTATTGCACTGCATTGTGGTGATTGTGATGTTTTGAGGTTTTTTTTTTCTTTGTAATCAATACGTGCACACATGTATATGTGTGTGTGTGTGTATGTGGGTAAATATATATAATCATATGTGTGTATAATATATAATCATAATATGTGTGTGTATAATATATAATCATATGCTTGTACAGCAGTAGTTAAAAAACAGTTGATGTTTCTGAGGAGAGAAGATAATTTAACTGCTTTACTGGCAAAGGCTTGGGTATATTTATGCAAGAAATATGTACCTGGGTCTTTTGGTAGTGATGCAGTAAATCATTTGACCCTATGTACAGCAGTATACAGTATCCAGTTTCCCATGTTATACTACTCATGGACAATAGCTTCACTCATACTATTTTAACCAATGTATATGTTTGTTTATATATATATATATATATTTTTTATGTTTATTCAGTGGGTTAACACTCAAAAGAATAACTAGTCTGTTTAGACTGGTTGTAATCCTTTTGTAATGTATAGTATTCTTGATTTAAAATAATTAATCAAAACTGAATTAAGTGAGATACTCTTTATAGATCTATTAACGTGCAAATTCATGCTCTGCCCAGACCAAAACGTGGCAACACTAATCTGTAGATAGTTTTTTTTCTGATCAACAGGGGTTTGTGAAACATGTAGTTTGAATACGGTATCAGTTCTATGTATCCAGTCACCTGAATGGAACTGCAGAGCAAGTCGATAGCAGTCAAACTGTGGTTGCTGTCATCCTCTTGAAATGTTATGAATGGAACTGTATAGTGTGAGCGCTCAGTTGGTACATAAAACAGAAGAAACCAACACTATAGTGCAGATGGTAATGAGTATAAGCAATATATCTTATTTTAAGATTGGGTCACTCCCATGTATTATTATTATTATTATTATATTTGTGTAGCGCCAACACATTTTGTAGCGCTTAACAATGGGTTGACAAACAAACATGTAATTGTAACCAGACAAGTTTGACGGACAGAAACAGAGGGGTTGAGGGTCCGTCTCAATGAGCTTACATGCTAGATGGATTGGGGTTAAGGCAAACTAAAGGTAAGGATAGTACCACATGGAGGCGGGGCCCTGGGCACCCACCACCTACAGAGCCATACATGTCAGGTAATACACAGCAATATAACACGACAGGCAGTCAAATAAAAAGTCAACAGGTAGGCACACCACACGGGAACAGCCTGTCACGACAAGCACCTATCCGGGACAAGGGCGGGGGACCCAGGTGGGTCTATTACCTATAACACACAAAGGAATCCTGAAGAAACAAACGCCAAAGATTCCCGATGGGCAGGACACAAGCCGTAAGACCAAGCACCACGCCAAACACCAAAGGCTAACTAAAGTGGCTGGCCCTGCAGGCCCCGACTCCGGAAAAAGTTCACAGCAAAATAAGACCAGACAAAGTGGTACACCACCAGATTCGGACAGACTTCCACTACCAGGCACAGGCCTCACCTACCCGTTAGGGACCGGTGCCGAAAGTTGTTATTGTTATTAAAAAACCTTGGCGACGGGCGGGCACCCGCATGGTATAATACTTCTAATTGTAAAAACACAGTATGTATGTATCCATGTTACCAATGAAGAGATACCTGTCTGTAACTAAAATTTCTGTATTTGCAAAATCTCGGCACGTGTGAGCTGACCAATGTCGATGTAACGCCTGATCAGTCAAGACAAAAATAAAGAATTTTTTTAAAAAAAAGATAAGGATAGTATTAGGGAAGTAGATTGGTAGAATAGTATTCGGTGAAGACTTAGTGTGGATTTTTTTGGAGCCATTAACAGTTTAATTGATTTGCTGGGTGAGCGTCTAACGGAAAAGGGAATGGAGTTCCACAAGAACGGTGCAGCCCTAGAGATGTAGTGGTGCCTATATATATTGGCTCTGTAAATCGGGCTGTTAAGCTCTCAGGGCTGCATCACACCACATCCTGGTCCACCCCCTCACGGTCCCCTCAGCAGGATATAAGCGACTGAACCTATCGGGCGGACTGGAGGTCGCTGGTGTGGCAGACAAAATGGCGGACGACACACACGCCTCAACCCTCTGCAAGGCCGAAAGAGAAACGGTGCTCAGACTCACCTGCATATTTGACTCCTTTTGGGAGAGGCTGGAACAGTTTGCGTGGCCCCCGGAACCAGGGACCCAGCATGAAGGTATGCCACACGGCATGTTACGAGAAACTCAAGGGAATGCCCCGGTACACGCCGTAAGTTCCCTCCCCGGGCTACACAGGTGCCTGAAAAAGACCACCACGATATCGGGTGACCGGAGCCACACCAAGGGCAAACGCAACCGGGCACAGGCAAAGCATCTCAAGTGCAGAACACCGCCTCACTCCCCTGCAGTGACACAGCCTAAGAGGGGCAATGGCCAGCCCATCCACACACGCAAGTGGCAGACCAAGAGGCCTAAAATGGCAGCAACAGCAGCCCAAATCCACAGCTACAGCCAACGATTACACCGACAGGTGGGAACCACAACTGGAGCCACATTATACATACCGATTAGGTCCTCTGTCCACACTGGACACTCTTCTCCCACACCGCTGGACCAAGGGGAGTGCAGCACGCATCATCGCTGCAACTAACTGCGCAGTGGGAGCACACCCAGCCCCAACAGGGCATCGGCTGATCCACTCAGTGCCCAATATTCATTATCTCTTAATACCCTAGATGAACTCTCACAACTTTATGCATGCAATACAATAGCCCTTTTGTTCCTGGCGGGGACCGCTGGGGGGGTATTGCTAGGGACCAAGCGATTATAAGCTAAGCCTATCTATGTATAGCTTTGCTACTCTGTTATATGTTGGTTCAGCATACATACCTTTCTAACCTATAACTGTTTATTAAGCATGACCACGATATCCATGTACCTACCTAGGCATACAGCTGCCGTTACATTCCCCTGCTCCTCTTATACTCATGTCTTTGACAGATTGTCCATTTTGCTTATTATAATGTTTAGCAATTCAGCAGGCTACTAATCTACATCAGTCATGTCAATATATCTCTCGTAAACACACCTCTTGCAATTGTTACTCACAGTTACTAATCTTCTGACTTACTCACCATTACTCTAACAATTTTAAAAATGTTTGCAGTTTAATCCCATGTCACAGTATTGTCATCTTTACGAAGGCCTGTAATCGCTATTGTGGCATTGCAGCCATGTTTGTATCTCCATGTTTGTAAAAATAGAGGTCCTGTGTCAGCTAAAACACGTTTCACTCTTTCCACCATTACCTGTGTGTTGAGCATTGGGTGGTTTGGTGCTTGAATGTGTGTATTTAACTTATTTACTGACGAATTATGAATTACCTTTTACAAAAGGAATGTGTCCCTAAATCTTTTAATAAAGATGCTGTAGATTAACTTATTCTATTGCAATTTTCAACTGTATCCAATGTATGGATAGTATTCAGCTGTTACTATATGGTGAATTATTGTCAAACAGTTTGATTAACCCCTAAACTTCTGGAATAAAAGGGAATCATGAAATGTCACACATGTCATGTGTCTTTAAGGGGTTAAATGTGAAAGGGCAAGTTAGAAGGATGTGGCAAAAGAGGCTTTGGGTTCAGAAATATAACTTTATTAAAGGCTAGTCACCAGAACCACTAAAGTTTAATGTACTGTCTCTGGTGTCTATAGCTTGTCCGTGCAGTCTTTTCAATGTAAACCGTGCCTTTTCAGTGTTTTGGGCTCAGTTCAAATCCCTCCTAAGAAACAAGAGGCCATTATCTGTTTGTGCAATATTAGGTATGCTTTGAGATGGAGTAGAATTTGACAAAAATTGAATCAACATTTTTGCTTATGTTCATGTGTTAACAATATGTAAAATGAAAATGGTTAAACACACAAGCTCCATGTGCCTGAGCACAACATTTTATTTATTTAATGCCTTCTCAAACATATGTGATCCTTATGCACTTGAACCGTTACCGTGATTCAATTGTAATTTTAGCTGCTTCCTAGAGAGTTAAGCAACATTTAATTCATATGTTGTATTCTTTAACCTTACCTTATGCATGTGTAAAAATATGTGAAAAGAAAGCTATCTTGTGCATGTGTTACTTACTCTTAAAGGCTTGTTTAGACAATGTGATTGTGCAATCTAATGCTTTGAGATGGATGTTGCACAAACAGAGAGCATTTTTAAGAGGCAAAATTACTAACCCATGCTTCTTTTAATGGTTTCTGGCACAAATCAAAAAGATTGTCACACGGGTGAGTATTATTATTTTTGCACAATTCGGTTTATTCAGTGTTAAAATATGTAAAATGCAGGAAAACGCTTTCTGAGCATTTGCTACATGTGCTTGGGCAGAGTGTATTATTAAATACCTGCTCAATGACATGTGAGCGTGATGCGCTTGAGCAATCTTCACACTTTGAGAAGGATTAAAAACATGGACAACTATAAGCAACACTTCTTTTGCACGGTGTAAAGATCTTAAAAGGACCACTAGAGGCACCCAGACCACTTCAGCTTAATGACGTGGTCTGGGTGTCAGGTCCAGCTAGGATTAACCCTTTCTTCTATAAACATAGCAGTTTCGGAGAAACTACTATGTTTATAATAGGGTTAATCCAGCCTCTAGTGGCTGTCTCATTGACAGCTGCTAGACGCGCTTCCGCGCTTCTCACTGTGATTTACAATGCTTTCCTATGGACTGGCTTAATGCACGCGCCGCCCATGCGCATTCAGCCGATGACTACGAGAAGGAGGAGGAGAGTCCCCCGCCCGGCGCTGGAAAAATAGGTAAATCTAACCTCTTCTACCCCTTAGAGCCCGGCAGGAGGGGGGGTCCTGAGGGTAGGGGCACCTTCAGGGCACTATAGTGGTCCTTTAACTGTTATTAGCAGGTAAAAACAATTATTAAAAGAAAGTATTTATGGGATGTAGTATCTACACAAAACAACGCATTGTTACTCTTGAAGTATATATTTTTCTGTGGATATGTATTTAGATAAGTTTAAAAAGAATACATGCTAATGTGCACTTGCTACATGTGTATGGGCAGTGCTTGTTATGAGATGCCTGTTCAGACACATGTGAGCATTGTACACATGTGCAGTCATCGTGGTTTGAGATGGTTAAAACATATGCTACAAAGTTTGAATACAGTGATTCTGAATATAGCAGTCTTTACTTTTATTAAAATATGAGTTCTGGGCATAACTTATGATTAAATGTCTGTCTGACACATGTGAGCAATATGTGTTTCCACAATCAGCATGATTAGAAGAGGAGGGAGCGTTGCCCAAATTTAAAAGCAATGTTAGTGAAACAATGCTTAACCTTGTTCTTTCCAAAAGTGTTTAACGACAAACAGCAGAGACAGTTGTAGAAATCGAGATAAATTATTTCTGTCTATTGCCATATTTCACTCTCTGCTGTGTTTTCTGTTGCAAACAGAGACTTGGTGACATTGTCATTTTATCAAATGCTCAACTGCTCAATTATAACCACACCCTCTCACCTACTTGGTAAACAGGGTTGGCACCCAGCTGCTTTTCCGCATAAAAATTGAAACGATCAGCCGCTGTTTTGAGAGCAGAGTGAACTTTGGTCCAAGTATTACGTATAAAAGCAACGTGATCATCCAAAGCAGGGATAGCAGTGTCAGAGAAAACAGCCGGCAGAATAGTAGGATGACTACCGTTATTAACAAAGAATGGACTATGACTAGAAGAGTCATGGTTAGCATTGTTCCTAGCAAACTCGGCCCACGGTATTAATTTTGTCCAATAATTCTGAGTGCAATTAACAAAATAACACAAATACAATTCTAATAACTGGTTAGCCCTTTTAGCTGTGCCATTGGTTTGGGTATGGTAGGAGACAGAAAATGACAATTTAATGCCCAACTGTTTATTGAAAGCCCTCCAAAAACCGAAACACAAACTGAGAACCTCTGTCAGATACAATATTTTGAGGAATGCCATGTAGATGGACAATTTCTCGTATAAAAATAAGAACCAGGTATTGAGAGGATGGCAATTTTTTTGAGTGTAACAAAATGAGCCATCTTGGAAAAGCGGTCAACCACCATAAGGATGGTGGTATAGCCATTAGAACCAGGAAGTTCTACAATGAAATCCATGGACAAATGGGACCACAGAACAGTAGGTGCGGAAAGTGGCTGCAACAGTCCACATGGAAGCTTATGAGGTACCTTAGAAACTGCACAAACAGAACAGGCATGCACATATTCTTTAACATCTTTCCTGAGAGAATCCCACCAAAATGATTTCATGATCGCGGATATGGATTTATTAATGCCTGGGTGTCCAGCAGTCACATTGTTGTGGAACACCCTCATGACATTCTCTCTTTCACCCAATGAAACAAATAATTTATCTAGTGGTTTATTGCATGGTGCTTGAAACTGAGCCTCCATGATAGCGCCATGCAGAGAAGATGACAAGGAAAGAACAGTGGAAGCAATGATACACTCAGTTGGAATAATAGGGGATGTCTCTTGTTCCTGTACTGATTCAGTATCAAACTATCTAAATAAGGCGTCCACCTGCACGTTTTTGGGACCAGGTCTGTAAGTTATAAGAAAGTTAAAGCGAGGTAGGAACAAAGACTATTTATCCTGTCTAGTAGACAGTTGTTTAGCATCCCCTATATAAGCCAAATTCTTGTGCTCAGTGATGGTCAAAAGGGGGTCCTTGGAACCCTCTAAAAGATGTCGCCACTCTTTAAGCACTATTATAATTGCCAACAATTCTCTGTTGCCAATATCATAATTACGCTTAGCAGGTGACAACTTTCTAGAGAAGTACTCACATGGATGCAAAGTGGTATCCTGACTCTTCCTCTGAGAGTGAACAGACCCTACAATTCCACAAGGAATTCCTGGTAATTATGTGCAATACTCCTATTACTCTCCCATAACGGATTAGCCCAAGCTAAGGATTTACATTTAAGTTGGTTCATTAGGTAACCAATCTTAGCTGTATCTGAGGGAAAAGATCCCGGTGAGGCCTCAAAATGGTACTCAATTTGATTCAGAAATCCCAGGCATTCTTGGATTTTACCATCAAAATGCAGGGGAGGAGATAGGGAGATAATAGGTGCCTTATGTACTATAGGTGGAGGTACTTTAGGCAGAGGTGACATAGTCGGATAAAACTCAGGCTGAAGATGCGCTGTTCGTGGAAGAAGCGTACTGAAAACCTGTGCAAATTGATCCATACGGTGATTATTCTCCTCTAGCTTTCTCTCGCTAGTTGCTATGTGCTTACATTATTCTACAGGATCTAAGGCTCTGTCGGAATGTCAGGATTACTAGTTGATCCAGCACGTAGAACTGTATCACACCTAGGACTAAAAGGTAATATCTTACTGGACCTTAGAATGGGTGGACTTGTACCAGAGAATAGTCAGAATACTTGCAGACGTCGGGGACACAGACTGGGACACAACGATGAGGGAAAGCCAAAAGTCAGGTGTAGAATATTGCATATTCTATATGTTCCTATTCAAATACATATTAAGTTGTGACTGTCTAATGGATTAAACAGAACAGATGGCGTTTGCTATTCTGTACCATGAGGTCTTTGGAATGTGCTGTAAAAGAGAGATTTGGGGATGGTCTTTATATGGGGAATTTCCTTTTATGGCCAGAGTCTAAACTAAACGTTATGACGTAATTTGG